AAACTAATTAATATAATTAATTTATCTATAATCAAATAATAAAATATATTATTTTAATATTTAATGTGATGAATAGTGTTGTAACACTATTCATTCTACACTAAATTTTATGGAATAGTATAACTTTTAGTGTTTCATTAGAGATGAAATTATATCAAATTGGGTGTTTTAATATTCCATTGGAGTTGGCGAGGATAAACTTCTTTGGTTTTGTTTTGTCGTGGGTAATGTATGAGGTGAAAACGAGCAGGCTTTTAACCATCTCGCCAGGTTTTGTCAGGCTGGTCCATCTTTCTTTTGTCAAAAATTAAACCGGACCTGCCTGGTCCTTTTGACAGACAACGATAATTTGTTGTCATCATCTCTAGGCTCATAGCCTGGTCCATTTACCTTACGACATAACACAAATTTGTGCTCATCTCTCAAACCCATCTCAATTTTTTCCATGATTCAGTGAGACTTGGAATCTTTTCATTATTTCAATAATGAATTTCAAGAGTTCATGATGAAACTTTTGAATTTTGTATTATGCATAGAAAAAAGGTCAAGGTTAGACTTCAATTAGTTGTGAAACTAGAACTTTGCAACTAGATATTTTTGGAGAAATATCTGGAATGGTTTATTATGAGATTTAATTTAAAAGAAATATAACAATAAAGTTTTTGTTAGTACGACTCTAAGATAGATTATAATGCATCAAACATTTTGAAAATACTAATAAATAAGAATGTCATATTACAATTATTCATCAGCATCCAAGTTTCATCAAAATTCGTGCGACTAATCTATAGGGTGAATGAATATACTGTACTATTTGATAGAGATTTTTCCACAAGCCAAACAGTAGATTCGAGCTTTGGTCTTTGATAAAATTTCAACTCTGTTTCCGAATGTGAACGTATAGTCGTCCTATAAGTAACTCGTACGAATCAAGTTAGCCAACGTATATAATGGTATATCTTGTTTTGATTGGAAACATGGCAGGAACTATATTAAGTTGGATAATATAGAATCAAAAAAGAAAAAGGAAAAAAAAAATATTGATTTGTGCTCATGGTGAATACAGAATATCTAATAGCTAGATTATGGGTGTAAAGACGAAGATGAGAGGACGGTCTTAGGGTTGGCCCGCCTTCTTGGAGAATCTAAACACACCCGCACGTTGGAAGTCTACAAAGACTGCTACAAAGAGACACCGCCACGTGGGGGGTCTAGTTTACAAACTCACACGTCTACTCGAGAGCATCAAACTTTTTATGTTTTCATTTTATTTTTGGGTAGACGATTGATTTACCCACGAGAACTATCATATAACATCAAATCTCCACCAAACTATAACTTATTTCTCCCCAAATCAATACTTTAAAACTTAATTACCCACAAATATGGCTTTAATTGATTTTAATTGATTTATTATTAACCAAACATCTTAAAATCAAGTAAACCAAACCGAAATCAAATTAAATCCTCACATGAATCACCGTAAACATTTTTGTGTAAACATTTTAATAGATTTATTTTACAACAACAGAAGATTTTGTTTTTATTTAATTGGATTTTAGTTTGGTTTACTTGATTTTAAGATGTTTGATTAAGAATAAACCAATTAAAACCATCGTGTATGGGTAATTAAGTTTTGAAGTATTGATTCGGGGAGAAATAGGTTTGCGATTTTCAATTCATGGAGATCTAGTATGAGATCATAATTCGGTGGGGGTATGATGGTATATGATAGTTCTCATGGGTAAATAGATCGTCTACCCTTTATTTATTTTTTACGGATTCAATTATCTTGGTAACAAACAAAAAAAAAAAGAAGTTAGAAACCTTAATCTTGATCTAATAAAAAACAGATATAGTATTTACATTAACAGTTTGATCGAACCAAAAAATGTAAGTCTTCATTACAGGAAAAATAATATATTGAAGTTATTGTTATTTATTAACTGGTGAAGACTGTTATTATATATTTGAGAATAAAATTGTTATTATATATTGAGGTTATGGAAACTGGAAAGAAAAGTTTAGGAAACGGAGGAAAGTGTTTGGGTTTCAACGTGTGTCAGAGAGATGCACGTGTTTTCTCTTCTTTTCCAACCCTAACGGGTCCCCAAAACTTATCAATTCTCACAACTTTTCTTATCTTTTCTATTATGTCCAATCGCCTTTTCACAATTTAATGATCTTCGATTTTTTTATTTTTGTATCGTTACTTTTATTATAGGGTAAGTACAAGACCAAAGACTACACTAATCCTTTTTTTGTCGACAACTAATCCAAGATATTACATATTCCCCATTTAGATAAGGGAAATCTAAATTTAGTTATATAATTTTAAATATAATAGTTTATAAGTATTTGCTGTGCTTAGCAAGTTCTTAGCTTCATGATGGATTTTGTGCCTCGAAAACTCAAAACAATTTTGACATCAAAATCTTTAATAACACATATATCGTGTCTCGAACTTATAATATCAAAGATGATATTGTCGTTCTGTCCTTAGTACCATAAACTATATACATACTTTGAATATCATATAATATATATGTTCTATGAGATGCTATACAGATCGGTGAAGGCGTGAGGCAATGTAACTAGGACTTCTTTAAAAGTAGGACTTTGAATATGCACTTTAACGTATACATCTCTCCCTTTCTCGCTAATTATGTAGTAATGTGATATTTATTAGAAAACAACAAAATCTAACTTATGTATCTTTCCATTTTCTTCCTAATTTGTAGCAACGTTAAACATCAATTAAACAGTATCAAAACAACAAAACTCTCAACCGGATCTGATTCAAAGTTAGTGGAACTGATAGAATATTTTTATTAGTATAGTTACAAAAGCATCCTAAAGTATTATCGGGACAATAATCATGAGGCCAGCGGTGTTTTTTCCCATCTCTTTCGTCAATGATGCTGACTTTGTACAAATCAAGTTTCCATCATAAAAAATAGTAACAAAAGAAAAGACTAACAAAGTCGCTCTCAATAATCGAAAAATCAATAAATAATTGGGGAAAACTGAAAATTTTACTTAGAAAACAGCTTGACAAAACAATGTTCTGATTCTGTAGAAATAAATACAACAGTGGAAAAACAATGAAAAATAGTAGTAACAAGGAGGGACCGCACGAGTGTACATGCACACTTTTTAATCATGGATTCCCATTGTCGGCTCACAAAGTTCAACCTACATTTGGTTTTCTACCTATGTACTACATATATTCACGATCCAAATATTCAAGCCGGACATAGATATAACGATTCAGCATATATGTACGAGATAAATACAAATAATAAGATGTTTTGTTAATTTTCTAGAGTATCAGACGAGCTTTCATCACTAAACACTCCCGTAATTTCCAAATGATTTGAAAATATTAATCTATTATATCATCGTTTGCGCCTTGCGGCGTGTCGGAGATGTTCAAGACTTGGAGCAAAAGCATGCACGTGCTGGTGGATTCGTTTTAACTTGTTTGCTTTTTTTGGCTTCGGATTCTTTTCACATCTTATATAATAATCACTCTTACTATTGTTTACTACTATATACTATTGGGTCGTATTTTCTTTTTAAGTAGTGGTCACAGTGATATTTTTTTTTTTTTTTTAAAAGTAGTGGTCACAGTGACTACATTGCTTTTAACAAAAAGAAACAGTATAGTACATTGGTCAGAATTCGTGATGTACTTTGGAAAATTCCTACGTATTTTATCTGCAGTACGGTATATTTTTGGGGACTTGGGAGTGAAAATACTGATGCCTTTCGCTTTTCACCTTTACATTTATTATAAGATATGTTCTACGATGAACCATTCATCAAAGGACTTGACACAACTTATTTCATATTATTGCTTTTACTTGATTCCTGGATGCTTCGTATCCTGAATTCCAAAACCTCTTATTCTTTAATTCGCTTTACCTTTTACTATAAGCATTAATAAATTATGAACGCGTGATGAAAACCACAAAAGTCAGAGTTTCAGAATGTTATTGTATCCTCTTCACAATCCAATTTTTAATCTATTAGCATTTGAACCCAAAAACTACATGATAAAACATCTCAACCTCCCTAAACCGACAAAATAGAAAAGAAAATAAAGCATAGTTTCCATTTGTATTATTTGTGTGAATTTGACTCAAGTCACATGGACTCTATAAGGCTGTAGACTTTGTCATAATTACTCTCTAGTTTCTTCACCTATTTTCTCTCTGGCATTGTTACACTGTTATATATTTTTCCATTGCATATTTACGTGGTTTTCACGTGGTTGAACTTCTCCACTCTAAAAATGATTCTATTGTGCATTGATAATTTGAAATATAGATGAACACTAATGTTGATAGGCAGTTTGGTTTTTGGTCTTGCAAATACTACAGGGGTTACCATGAAAGCATAGTCAGTGAGGTTTGATCTATGACCTCAATATCTATGATGTTTTAAAAATATCTCACTGCATAAAATATTCTTCTTCCATTTCAAAAAGATGTATGTTTGGATTTTCACGTATATTATAAAACATCTTAAATGTTGATTATACATTTGTTATCTTGTGATTAAATGTTTCCTGCAATTTTTTAGTCAATCAAAATTCTAACTAGTTTTTTTTTGAAAATTTACAGTTTATCATTTATTTCATAATAAAAATGCATTGAAAATGTAAAATTTATCTTTTAGAATTTTTTCTTTCTAAAACATTGATCATTTTGAAAAAAATATAGTATATTATAATGATTTATTCAAAAAATGCAACTGGCAAAAAGTATTATATCACAAAGTAAGTATATTTTTTATAAAGTTCATAACTATGCTAAAAGCATATGCTTTTGGCTCTTCTATTATCTCACATGAATGATTTGTGATAATGACAAGGAGCATTCGGAGGCATTAAAATTTTGCATACACAGTTCCAAGTAAAGTGAAGCTCTTTCAGGGCCAAAACATTATGAAAAAGAGAGTAAATAATTAGTTATTTGAACAATAAAAACTTATTTAGAAGCTACCATTCAAAAGGCAAACGAAATACATAAATTACAAATCAATAAAGCATTTCTAAGAATGCATTACATCAATTTCATATATTCATGTGTATATATAAATAAATAGCAACCATACTTCAAATGTTTGATCCTAGAGGACAAGTGAAAAGGGCAAACCCCAAAAGAAGAGAAAGTTGAAGAAAAACAATAAGAGAGAAAAAAACATAAGGTAAAAGTCTAAATCGAAACACGGTCTCGGTCACGGTCAGGCTCACGCCCGCAGACTAGCATGGCGATACAACGGGCAAGGATGTAAAACTTGCCTCTCTGTTTCTTCACTTTGTGGCTACACTTCTCTCCAAACGTCTTGCACCGCTCACATGTCCTGCTGGTGATGTTCTCTTCTTTCATTATTTATGTTTTTTTGTGTGTGGTTTCTGCTGCTGAAGTATTGTAGTAGAGATGTGAAGTGAGGGAGAAAGAGGGAGCGGTAAGTCAATATATGGAGTGAACGAAGCCAATGAATTAGAGCGAGGGGTCACTGGCTTTGGTACGATAAATGATTGATAGTAACATGTTTTGTTTTCTAGAAATACGTAGCATTAATATGTAATGTTATATATGCATTTTAGAAAATTGTAATAGTGTCGTATGTGGTCTGTTCTTTGGGCTCTACACCAGTGAGTGTTTCAGGTATTTAAAAGGAACCATTGAGAGCGGTAGAAAAAAACCATAGTGTTTAATTTCAACTTTGATATGTATAATGTAATTACTGCTATATCATACTATGAATCTAAAAGATTATAGATTAGTGAGAATGCATTTTAGCATTTGATTACATGCATATCTCAGTAATTAATTTTGAGTTTACGAATATTCGCATGGAGAATTCTTTAATCTTTCAAATTTCACAAAATAGCGAACTAATCAAGTTGGTCGATATCGACTGACAAAACGTTACCATAATTTGGTTTTATTTGTAATTGTATGGAAAGAAGGAACGTTTTACAATTAGACTTTTTCACTATCAAAAATAAGTTTCGGACGAAAAACATCGCATTAAGTTCATAATATCAAAATATCAGTTGGAGTGTCTATATAATAAATGTGAACCCAACGGCAACATCTCTCACTGTACATATCTTTAGGGAGGGAACTATTTAAAAAGTTTGAGCTGTAAAGATAGTATATTCAATTCGCCTCATAGGACGAATTTGCATGTGTGCAATTTGAAGAGATGTAATCATATAACCACATCCAGAGTGGACTAGGACCCTATGTTCTCTATTAAATATTTTCCTTAGTCTTTAGTCAAACATTTGATTTAATTGTGCGTACTTATTGGTAGATCTTTGGTGAACATCTGAAATGTGAATGGTCGGTCTGAGTAGACCGGTCCCCACATAGGCATTTCCAGTCAGCGCGGCAGCTCAATAGGTTCGTACGACATAAACCACACTTTTCTTTTGAAGTTTACGTATCCAAATTGATTGTACTCACACATGACCCTATTGAAGTAACAACACTTGGAATTAATTCTTGTTTCATCTTTTTCTTTGTGTTGTCATTGTAAGTAGTCAAAGGCAAGTAAGTATTAAGATAGCTCATTTAGAACTCATGCTCTAAATACTTATTAAGATAAAAAAAAATTTAAACTAATAATGATGTAGTCACTGAGTTTCATTTTTTTTGTAGTCACTGAGTTTCATTGAGTGCAGAAAAATTGAAGAAAAAGAACAAAAAACTGAAGATGCACCGTATTAGTATTTAGTAATGCTTTGATTTATATCCTAAATAGGATGAAAGAGATGCAACTCTCAAGGTTAGTTCTTTTGATCTCGTAATACACATTATTGATACATGAATCTATATTCACAAGAATTCTACTCACATGGTTTTTTTTTAATCATAATATTAGGCTGTTGTGTATATGCCTTAATACACTCTCGAAAACTTAGTGCGGGTGAACATGCTCCTTGTTTGAAAGTCCAAAGAGATTAACTTGGAGGAACATCAATAGTCGAAGAAGGATCATATCGATGTATAGGTAGTTTGAAGTCTAAATAAATTACGATTGAGATATGAAACATGAAGTGCTGATATTTGGAGAGTTTAGCAGATTTTCCAAAGAACTATTGTTTGTGACCTTTCTCTTTTACAATAATTATGTAACTTATTTTTTCTTCTTGACTCAACTAACGAATCTTATCATGAGTGAATGCTCCAATAAGTACTGCCTACTGAAATCCTACTCACTCTGTACTTCCAAACTTCCTACTACTAACGAACTCTATGGTTACAAAATTTGAATAATTTTATGTTTATGGGATTCCTGTTAGATGGGCTTTAAGGCTTACCAAACTGTCTAATGGCTCGAAGTTAGTATTGCAAAAGTTCTTTGGGGCTTTTGAGTTTGTACTCAAAAGTATTTCTTCTCGTGTGGCTATTACCTTTTGGCTTTGGATTTCTTTTCTTGCAAACTAACTTTATAATTTAGTTTCTTTTACTCATTCGATAAAGGATGTGTTTTAAATCCTTAATTCTTTAGGCTTTGGTGTTTTAAGTTTACTATATATATGTCATACCTCGGCTTTCTAAGGTACAACTTTTACATTGAATTAATTTTAAGAGCTTTTGCAAACTATGACTTTGTTTTCGGATAGGGCTTCGACTCTCAACGATCTTAAAAAGACATGAATTCTAAGTATTTTTAGAATCAATAGATTTCTTGTGCTATACGTAGCTAATTGCGCTACACCAAATAACAAACAGTATACACCGCATGGTTACCACTATTAGCTGAACTCGAATATTTTTTAAAAATACACAACACGTAAAATATCACTCAAATATTGAGAAATTTTATCATGTCTGAAGGACGTCGTGAGAAGATACTCAGCTGTTATGTTGAGCATATATTGTATCAGTGGAAAAATGAGTGTACCAGTTTAATACTCAAAAATATCCCAACTAAATTTCGTTAAACTTTTTAATATCTAAACTTTTTTGCTATCCAGTTTAATACTTCAACTAATTATTTTATTCATTTTAATACACAAACTCTTATAATTATACTCAATTTAATACCTAAACTTTATTTATTTTAATTAACAATACTACTAAGTTCAAAAAGAAATTTAAAGAAATCTCTAAATCTAAAAAAATATTTAAATTTTCTAATTTTACGTAAAGATTTAATAAAGAAGATAAATAAACTCTAGAAAAGATTTAAAATTTTTAAAAAATTAATTTTGAAGGAAAACGAACTAATTTGTTTTTATTTTAGAAAACAAACTAAATTCAATATTTAAAAATTAAAAAACTTCTTACAAAATTTAAGATTAGAAAATAATTAGTTACTTTTATTTTTCAAACAGAAAAAAATTAGAATTTTTCGTAAAGCTTAGATATTTAAAAATTTATGCAACTTATTAATATTTTTTTTATCAAAATAAACAAAGTACATGTATTAAAATGGGTACATTTATAAAAAATTTAGTATTAAAATGAGCAAAATAATTAGTTAGGGTATTAAAATGGGTCGTAAAAAAGTTTAAGTATTAAAATGCTTAACAAAATTTATTTAGAGTATGTTTGTGGAATTTTCCCTTAGTTCAACTGGTAAAACAAACACAGTATGTATGTTTCTTTTCATGGGCACGTTTTTTCTTTATTTTCCATAATTATTTCGGTCCAATTTTTTAAAAAACTTTCACCCAATTTTTTTTAAAAAATTCAAGTCGGGAGCTGGTCCGTGAAGCAAGTTATTGAATGAATCAGGTCAATTAATATTGGTCGAATTTAATATATGATCTTATCTAGAAGCAAAATCGTTGGGTATTAAGTCATGGCAGTGTGGTTCCTGATTATTCTACAAACTAAAGTACTTAGAAATGGATGAGAATATTGAAAATATATTGGACAACAAGATGTATCTTATAGACTAACTACTACAAACTATTTGTCTCCGATTTGGCTATTACAAACTATTAGTGTCCGATTATGAAATGAATACCGTGAAATATGTGAAACCCAAATTGAAGAATATTAATTACATAAACCGTATTGTGATAATGGTTTGTCCGTAAAAGCAGATCCGTAAGATACATACCTTGCTGGCTAATATATCTCCAATTGAGAACAAGCTTTGCTGATAAACTTACTAATTTCAAATACACGTAATCAATACTTTCTGTTCATAGACTCACTTCTTATGAGTTTGAGTGCCATTCATACATCACATTCACATAACCATAAACATATATATAAACACCCCCATATCAAAAGATACATATATAGACATCACATAAAGCACAGAATACAAGTCAGAAGCCACATCAGACTCTTTACAAATACACACATACTGACATACTCTGTCATAGGCGCTTCCTTGTCTCAGTCATGTCTTGTCTTGTGTCTTTCTATCCGGTTCCATCGTCGCCACCACCGTCTCCTCCTTTGCCACCCCAATTGTCATAGTTTTGTCTTGGAATGTTATGGTGGTTGTCTACTCCTCTTGCTGATGGAATTACGGATGTGCCTTTTTGAACATGGTGAAGTCTTTGATCTTGGCTGTGTATCCCTCTCCCTCCTCCCTCTACATTAAAAGAGCTCATAAAAACCATTATTATCACCACCGCCACCACCACCAAGATATGCCTTGTTTGAATTTTCATTTTTTGTTCTTGTTTTGTTTGTTTGTTTCTTGCAATATGTCGTTCTTTTTATAGAAATGAGAAGTAAGGTTTAGGATCTACAAGTGTTTTCTGTGTGTTCCACTAGGAAAAGACAAAACAAAAGATTGATTCGATGAGCCTTTAAGTGATGTGATTATTTGTTATTGTTGTGGCTTGTCACAAAGATATTTAGAAATAATAATAATAATCACCACTAGTCCAAATAGGAAAGTTCCACCGTTAAAGTGCTGGAGAAGGCATAAGAATCAACAAGAAAAATTGGTTAGTTGCCCAAATAGGAAACTTCCACCATTTCTAGTGCATCGCCTGATATTTTAAAATTAATATTTTCTGTGTAAATTCAAAGTTAGGGATGGTAACAACTAACTACTTATCAAAAGAAAATAATTCCAAATAATTAAAGATGATGATCATTCAATTATTATGCTTTTTCTCTCATGAGCATGCAATAAATTTGAGACAACTGTCTGTTCTTCCGATTTATCTAAACCCACTACTTAGCAATTAGCATCCCTGTCCTATCGTGCTAATGGCTAGATGATCAATCGCAATTAATTCCCTCACATCGAATGATTTGGTTAGGCCTGGGCATTCGGGGTCCCAATCGGATCTCGGTTCTTTGGGTTTATCAAAATCAGCCCCATTCGGAATATTTGAAAGTTTGATTTGGGATCGGTTCGGGTTCTATCGGGTTCGGGTCGGGGTTAGTAAATCTTTAAAGAACCGGTATAACCCGTTATACTTTCGGATTCGGGTCCCAATCGATTTTTTGGTTTAAAAATATTTGATTTGTACCTACTTTGTAACGAAAACATAAGTAAAATTGGTTCTTCGGATTTAAAGTACCTAATGTATAACTATTTTGTAACCAAAACATAAGTAAAATTGATTCAAAAATAAGAAAGAAACATCAAACGTGATCATTCAAAATCAAACGAAAGGTAAACATGGTTATTAATTGAAAAAAACCAAATAAATGAAAACATAAAACGAAAACCAAGTTCTTTAAAAATGAGAAACATTATTTAATAAAAACAAAACCTTAATAAAAAAAATTTCAAGTTTCAACCGCCACTTTCAACCATCAACCTTGATGTAATTGATAATTATTTTAGATGTTTAGTAATATCTTAAACTATTTTGGAAATTAAGGTCATGTTTGCTACACGTTCTTATTAAAATTTCTGAATGTTTCGGGTTCTATCGGATATCCATTTAATTCCGGATTCGGTTCGGATAATATCCATAACCCGAAATACCATAAAACAAAATCCATTCGGTATTTAAATCGGGTTCGGATCGGATTCATTTTTATCAGATTGGATTCGGTTCGGATTTTCGGGTTCGGTTTATTTGCCCAACCCTAGATTTGGTAGAGCTAAATCATTCACACAAAGCAACCATCGTAACGGGGTCTTACTGGGCTTGTATGAAGCTCTAATAAGCCCGGTATATTTGTTCGGGATCGAATTCTACTACTAACGATGAAAATATGAATTTTCAGAACTTCTGGACTAGCAGCTAAATATATAGAAATAATACTAATAAATAAAACCCACAAAGACACAAAACAATAAAATAACTAGGTGTTTTCCTACACCACATGCAATAAAAAAAATTAAAATATTTTAACAGATAAATATAAATTTATATTTAAAAAGAAAATTTTATTAATATTCTAAATTTTATTTTCTTATCAATATTTTAATTATAAATTTGATTTAGTTAAACATAAAAATTAGAATAAAATATTTTTTGTTTATTTTAAATTATATTTAAGAATATGCATATATATATTTAAAATTATAATCTTAGATAATTTTTTAATCTATTTAATTTAATTAAATATACTAAATAAATTTGTAAAAAATGCATAATTATAAAAAAATAAGATTAAACAATATTTATAAATTTTTTAGATATATGAAAAACTAATGATTTTACGATTAAATTTTTATAACTTTCTAAAAAAATTGTATACATTTTTTGAAAATTTTAGTAATAAATTTGTATAATTTAAAATATATAATTAAATGATATTCAAAATTTGTAATGTCATATTTGAATATATTTATTTAAATGATGATTTTTGAGTTAATACCATATTCCAAAAAAATTCCAAAAATATAAAGCAACACTAAATATAATATATGAGTTATTACCATATTTTTAATTCCATATTTGAATATATATATATTAATGATGATTTATGAATTATTACCATATTCTAAAATAAATATAAATCGACAATAAATATAATATATGAATTATTACTATATTTTAAAAGTATACCTAAAATATAAATTAAGATTAAATGTAATTATCCATGTCATATTAAACTATAAATCATGCATCAATTTTAGTAGCAATATCACATTATTTTCTGAAAATAATTATAAAAAAGATATATGGCAAAATCATTTTTCAAATAATGTATAGAATATAATAACAGTGTCAGTACCGGCCCTGAGGGGAAGCATTACAAGCAACCGCTTCCGGCCCTCAAAAAATATTTGAAAAGTTCAGCCTTTTTTATAAGAAAATTATTATTATAGTATATAAACGTTCTTATAAAAATGGCCAATTTTTTGAAAATTGCTTCTGGTCTTTCCCATGTCAGGACCGGTACTGACAGTGTGCATGCTTTCCTAATAAATAATAACACCAATGCTTCCATATTCATTCATTTTCCCAAATGATATCAAACCATGCATGATTTCCTAATCTTTTTATCATAGAAACGTGGAAGCAACCGAAACATCTTGTTCGTTTGTGAGTCTTTTTCTTAGGGGTTAATTGATAGAGCATTAGTATAAACATCATACTCTTTATTATTTAATCAACATTTATTACAAAAGTATTTAGAAAAACATTTATAAGATGTTAATGCTCTCCAAATGTTCTCTGCTTAATGCTCTCATATGAAACTTTTGGAGAAGCATTTGTAGTTAGAATTTATAAAAATTAAAAATAATTATATATAATTAATTTATTATTATTCAATAAAATAAAAATATTTTTAAAATTAAAATATAAATTAAAATATTTTTTATTAAAAATTGTATTATTAAATATTTTTAACTTTTATTAAAAAATATATTTCATATTTAAAATATTATATCATTTATATAATTACACATATTTTTCATTATTTTTTATTAATAAAAATAACATAATTTATATATTGTAGATATAAACATATCTATATTACATAGAAACAAATAATTATATATAATATATTAATTTTATGATAATTTTATATATGAATCATTTATTACTCTACCAAAAAATAAACAATTATAATTTATATATAATTATATAATTAAATTATTTTATTTAATAATATTGAAAATATGTTTATTATTTAAAATAAATTTTATGTTTTTTATAATAATAATGTTTTATATTTAAAATATAATATAATTTATATAATCGAATAAGACTCACTATTTTTAATAACAAATATATTATTAATATATATTATTTTAAAATAAATATATTATATATTAACTTTTAGGATAATTTTTAAATTGTATACACTGCCACTGCTCTATTAATCAGTTTATTACAAATTTTTAATGAGAACATACCGATTCTGCATAATACTAATTATTTAGCATTCTATTACTACTTTTTTATCTGTTGTATCAATCGAGACTTTAGTCCAATGGTTATTAAATAACAAATGCCTTGTTATTATATATTTTTTTAAAAGGTTGTTATTATATAATTTTTAGTTCAATTTTAGAAAAGATTATTTATATTGTTTGAGTATGCGTAAAGAGGTGAAATCAAATTTTCTTTTTACAAAAAAGTAAATTCGAATATTCGTTACTCCATAGTGATCTAATAATAGAGGGACACTACTTGTTTAGCATTCTACTAGATCTCGACCCGCACAACCGTGCGGGTATTTTAATACGAAAATATTTTAAATTATATAATACTCATTCCATTTTAAATAGATGATGTTTTATAAGATTTATTTTATTTCAAAATATAAGATGTTTCGAGATTTTAAGGTATATTTTGAGGTTTTAAAGTTATCTTTAACTTTATTGGAAACTGTTCAACCGATAAAATTTTACTCTTTTTAATAATTTGTTGAATGATTCTAAAATTATATCTTTAAAAATACTTTTGTAAAAGAAGGTAAATTTCTTAATTTTTGTGCTATGCTCCAAAACATCATATATTAAGTAATGGAGGGAGTAAAATTTATCAATAAATATAATTTGATTGTATATACTATCCAAATTTATAATAATATTTATGTAGCTTATAATATTATTAATTTAAAATTTATAAATCTATTATATTAAAAGAGAAGTCATGACTCATTTCATGTGTGATTTTTTAGTTTGGAGCATTATTAGAAATTTTATAAAATTTTACATAACATTATTATAATATCTTTTCATATCTTTAATTTTTGTTTGAAATACAAATAAACAATTTTAAGATGATTCTAACAAAATCTTGTAAGAATCTTTTCAAGATATAGTTTCAAAAATTATTTGATAAAAATTTAATTATCATAAAATATAATTAAAATTTTAATTCATTTTGAAATTTATAAACAAAAAATTAAAATTATGTAAAATACTTTTAACAATATCCCAAAATTTTGTTTATGTATTATGTAAGTCCAACTTAATCTACTTTTTACATATATTTCAAATTTAGAAATAAAAAATATAAATTAGTAATGTTACATAATAATGTTTTTAAAAATTGTTACAAAAATAAAAACTTATAAATTTTAAATTAATAATATTATAAGACAAATAAATATTATTATAAAACTGGATAGTATACATAATCAAATTACATGTATATTTATTTATTGATAACTTTTACTCCCTCCATTTCTTAATATATGATGTTTTGCATCATTGCACAAAGATTAAGAAATTTACATTCTTTTAGAAAATTATTTTTAAAGATATAATTTTAAAATCATTCAACCAATTATTAAAAAGACAGTAAAATTTTATTGGTTGAACAATT